GCCCCGCGTCGCCCCGCGTCGCCCCGCCCCGCGTCTGCCTCCCCGCGACCTTGACTCCGGGTGTGGTCAAAGTGCTGCCGTGCTTCCATCCTCCTCACACCTGAGTGCCCGCGGCTCCCCACCGGCACGCTGGTAGTCACGGAGGACCGTGCAGCCGTGTGACGACGCCCAGCAGTCCGGCCCCTGGTCCGAGCAGAACCCCACACAGCTCTGTCTCCCCTCCGCTGCGGCTCCCGGCTGAGCACACGGAGCCCGAGGCTTCCCCCCTCCCCCTTTCCTGTAACTGGAAGGTGAATACCAGCCAAGGCCTGTTCCTTCTGTGAGAGTCTTTCTTTACTCTGCCTCTTTTCACATGTCTTTTCCCCACCCCACCCCTTTTCCCATACTCTGCCCAGAGCCTCTGCATATATGTTTATTTTTTTTTTGCTCAACACTGATAAAAATGTCATTCACAACGATCACTGCTACTATGACCATAGCTCACCACTCACTGAGCATTTACCCTGTTCTGAGCACTGTGATGTGTCATTGAACCCTCACCACAGTGCTGTGAATGATTTGCAAATCAGGCTAAGGAGGCCCAGAGAGGTTAAGTAACTTGCCAACGTCACACAGCAGTAGGTTGTGGAGCTGGGATTTCAGTGCCAAGTCCTGAGTTAGATTCATAGTGAAAGCATGTGAAACACGGGCTTCCTTCTAGCTTTGGTAACAGGTTATTGCACGTGTTCATCTCTTTTCATTGATATTGTTGGATATGGTATTAGGGCTTCTAACCCTAACGGGAGTGGACTCCAGGGAGACCGTGCTGCTGGTGTGTGGAATCTGAGGATCAGACTTCTCATAACCTACCCCAGCCCAACTCCCAGATGCCGTGTCTCACCCCCAGGTGGGGAAACGGGCAAACTCTTTCCCACACCCTCCCTCTGGCCCCGTGGCTGGGGGTCAGCACCTCCCGGCCCACTCAGTCAGGGGCAAGCAGTCGGAGACCGTCACGGGGGACGCAGAGCCACCTGTGACAGCGACCAGGACGCTGTCGGCTCTGCCCACCCCGCCAGCCGTCACCACCACACCGCGCGCCTCAGAGAAGGGGGAGAAGCCTCCCCATCGTGTTGGTGACACCTGCCTGCCCGGGCCCGGGGAGGAGGCTCCCCCGAACCCCCAGGCAGAGGAACGCGGAAGTGACCCCAGCGCTCCCTGCCTGTTCCACCTGCAGTTCCCGCTGTACTGGTTCAGCGTGCCGGCTGTCCTGAAGGGCTGGATGGACAGGGTGCTGTGCCAGGGCTTTGCCTTCGACATCCCGGGATTCTATGACGACGGCCTCCTCAAGGTACGGCCGGATGAGGGGCAGCGTCCATCGGGGATGGAGGGGGCATCTCAGCAAGTCACTCCTAGTTTGCATTTTTTAACCAAACACTGAGCGCCAACCGTGTGTAAGGCCCCGTGTGGTTACATGGGCGAGAAAGCGTCGCTCCCGAGGTCATGGGCTTTTCCCAGTGAGGGACACAGAGCGTCCACGTCTGTCTGTGTGCTCAGCCAGGGAGGCCTGGGCTGGCCTGGGGACGGCTGCCGAGGGGCACCTGCTCCACGATGCGGGCTCGTCACTGGCCACGCACCAGTTCACCTCTGAGCGTCACGTAACCACCTTGAAAACAGGATAACGCCTTGCCCCCAGGGAAGAGGTTGCGGGGAACCTGGCAGGTGCATAGGACATGGTAGCTATGGATTTCCCACTAAAACAAATGACATTTTAAATTCTGAGATCCTCAGAAAATAAGTGCATATAAAGAAAACACTGAGTCATGAGATCCATCTTGGACCGTGAAAAGATGCCACCCTTTCCTGAGTGGCCCCAGGAGCTGGGCACTGCGGGCGGTACCATTTGCCCTCCCAGCCTCTCCAAGGTCTGGCCTCCGCCTCATCCACTCCTCCCCTGCGTCCCTGAAGCCTGCTCTCCACCACCCCCGGGGCCTGTCAGCTCTGTGTGCGCCCCATCCGTTCCTCTGGTTGTCCCCTGCTCTCTCCATTTGATGTAGCTGTCACCTGCAGTTGGGCTGGACGGAGATGGGAATGTGTGTCTTTCCATCAGGGAAGGGTGCAGGGGAGCTGGCCTCGGGTTTTCCCTCCCGGTCATTATAAACCTCTGGGCTGGAGTCACAGTGGCCTTTACTACCCTGTCCTCTGGGGTCCCACCAGTGCGTGTGCTGTGTCCTCCGCAGGGTAAACTGGCCATCCTGTCCATAACCACGGGCGGCACGGCCGACATGTACTGGAAAACTGGAGTCAGCGGAGACTTCCGATACTTCCTGTGGCCCCTCCAGGTACGCCACACCCTTCCCTGACCCGCACCTCCCCTGGTACAAATGAGGTGTGACATAGGCCTGAAGGCCAGACCGTTCTGACTTCCCTGGGTACAGGAAGTGAGAGCCTCTGCCCTCTTTAATGATTTACTTGGCAGCACTGGAAAGGCTGGCCAATGAGGAAAACACGTGTTATCAGGATAGCTTCTGCCATCGTTTGGTTAGAGGCCAGGCCAAACCTAGTTGGCTGGTGTGCTCTGGGGCACACAGGAGCCCCACGGTGGCCCGTGTGTGTCACGATTCGGGAGGGCAGAGCCATCCACACTCCGGCTCTGCTTCCTGAGGCAGCATCACCTGGAACCCTGGCAAAAGGCTCCCGGGCCCGCAACCGGCAGCCTTGTGAGTGGGCATGTTTCCATGGAGCCAGCGGCTGGGCGCCTCCCCAGAGCCCACCCCGCCTCCAGGAGCCCGGGCTCAGCTCCGGGCCGCGCTCCCAGGTGGACGCCGGGCTGCCTCTGCGCCCTGGGCCCGGGGTCGGCGAGGACGGCGGTCAGTGGAAGTGCCCTGGTGAGGGGCAGAGCCGAGGAAGGGAGCTGGGGGCCCTGTCCCAGCCCCCCTGTGCCGTAGGGAACTCCTGGGAGACCCAGAGACCTGCATGGAAGCTGCCCATCTAGGTTGTTAGGGGTGTGTGTTGAGCTCGGAAGAGATCACGTAGTTAAGGGTTCGTGAGCTTTAGAAATGCAGGTGGTGGCGTGGGTCCCGGCCTCCCACCCACCTGATGGGGCAGGCCTGGACAGGGTGTGGGTTTAGGGAAGGAGTGCAGACGGAGGACAGTGATATTTCTAGAAAAACGATCTCTGAAAGGAGACGGGATAGTCATTCCATGTAGTGATGCTCAGCTGCAGAAGCCCGAGCTTCCTCTGCAGAGGCCGAGGGGCCTCTTAGGTGCCATTAGCCAGGCCTAAATTCTTGCTTTTAAAAAATCTTCACCTTTTTTTCAGTTTGCAGAAGTACATATCATAGAAAAAAGTGAGATTATAAAATACAAAAATAGTTTCCTTAATTTCTCCCTTAAAAATAATCACTTTGAATGATTTGATGTATTTCTTTACAGCCCATATATATTTTTAAATATATACTTTTAATGATTAGGCTTATCATGTTTATCTTTTTACATAAACGGTGTGCCACAAATACTGCTTCACGTTTCTTCTTGCTGTTCACATTTAATGCATATCTTGAACAGCCTTCCATGGTGGCACATTGTAGCTAAAATAACCTCATTCTAGAATATTCCATCACATGACTTGCCATAATTTGCCTAACCAGTCAAAACCTAAACTTCAGTGTCTGACTCAACAGCAGAGATTAAAGATTAATGTCAGTTATCAGAGTAGAATTTGGAACTTGCCGCTGCCCAGCACTCTTCACCTCCCTGGTAGCGGCCGTGTCCTGAGGTTCTGGGGCAGTTCCGTTGTTTTCGATTAACTGGTAGCATGAAAGGTGTTCTGTCCCCTTTGGTGACTGAACGGATGGCGTGTGCAGGGCGGCTTCTCATTGCTCTCCTTTCTTTGTGGCTATAGCACGGCACGCTGCACTTCTGTGGATTTAAAGTCCTTGCCCCTCATATCAGTTTTGCTCCTGAATTTGCATCAGAAGAAGAAAGAAAGGGGATGGTGGCCTCCTGGGCGCAGAGGCTGAAGACCATCTGGAACGAGGAGCCCATCCCCTGCTCGCCCCCCTGGTACTTCGGGCAGTGACCTCGGGGCCACGCCGGGAGGTGCTGGTGTGTGTAATAAACAACGGCACGACAGAGCAGCAGGTGTGTGGGGTGATGTGACTGTGTCTCCAGGGTCCTGTAGGCCGACTTGCGGCTCCCGTCACCCGCTGGTTGTCCCGGATTCTCTCCTGACAGATGTCCGTATTCTCCCAGGCTTTCTTTTCATTTCTAATATTTTTCCATCTCCCTGTCTTCAGCCTTCGCGGGTGGTGGTGTTTCTCTGTAGTTCTGGCTTGGAACTGAATTTGTTAGGTTTTGTTTTGTTTAATTCCATAACTCAACTTGAATTTCTGTTTGCATAGAAAAGTGAAGTCTGTTCACAGCTCGTGTTTGAGTGCTCTGTTTGGACTTACTTCTTCCATCTTTTTTTTTTTTTACTTGCATCATGACTGTGAAGTTTTAATTGATCAGCCACTTAACATATTTTTACAATCCCTGCGTGCCCGTGACAACGAGGTTTCCAAGCAGTAGTGAGAAGGCATCCTGTCAGTGTGTGCGAGCTCGGGGAACACGACTGACAGTAACCTCAAGGTGTGGGCACGTGTAGGTGGAGTGTCTCCCCCAAAGCAGGTTTGAGGAATTAGATCCCTTCCCCCCACCCGCTCCCCCCATCGTCACGGTCATCGTCACTGCCCAGGACAGAGCAGCTGTCTGGGGTCAGGGCCCTTCTGCTCAGTATCCCAGCCCCGCCCCCCATCAGACTGTCCCAGCTTCCCGCTGGATCCCCCTCGTCACACACCTTTCACCTTCCTCTCCCCCTCCCCCGCCCCTCCCCCCCCACCATCTTCAGACCCTTTTCCATCCTCATTTTCTTTCTTCTCTTTTTCACCTGATAGTATTTCTTTTTGTTTTGTTTTTAATATTTACTTATCTTTGGTTGCACCAGGTCTTGGTTGTGGCTTGCAGGCTCCTTAGTTGTGACCTGCGAACTCTTAGTTGCGGCGTGTGGGATCTAGTTCCCTGATTGGACCTGGGCTCCCTGCTTTGGGAGCACGGAGTCGTGTCCACTGTGCCACCAGGGAAGTCGCCACCGGATAGTATTTCGTGTGCATCTTCTTCCTTTCATCTGAACCTTCCCTCACTCAGAGCTGTTATCCTCGGATCAGCATCTGATCTCTCAGGGTCACTTCTTTCTGACTCCTTTTTGACGCCACTTTCTTCAGACTTTTTCAGAACAGTCCTCAGATTCTCTTTCTTCCATCCTCCTCAGACCCTTTTTGGGGCCGTCCTCCTCAGATTCCTTCTAAGGGTCACCTTCAAAGCCATTCTTGAAAAGCAAAAACAATACCTTCTCAGCAAACTTGGGTTGGAAGAAATGTCCCCAACCTGATAGAGAGCATCTAAAAACCTACAGCTAATGTTAAACTTTTCTGATAAAATAAGGACTAGGGCAAGGATGTCCACTTCCACCACCCCTGTCCCACATCACACAGGAAGAACTAGTCAGTGCACGTACTGGAAAGGAAAAACTAAAACTGCCACTGTTGGCAGATTATATGATTGTCTACATAGAAAATTTCAAAGGTCTACAGAAAAGATGGTCTAGAACTAATAAGAGAGTTTAGCAAGGTCACAAGATACAAGGTCAACCAGCAAAGGCAAACTGTATTTCTATATACTAGCAATGTACAGTTGGAAACCAAAAGTAAAACAACATTTATGATAGAAAAATGAAATAATCTCACAAATCATGTACACCATCTCTGTACTGAAAACTGCAAACAGCTGATAAAAAATTAGAATAGCTCTTTAAATAGAGAAACCCATCATATTCGTGGATTGGAAGAATCAGTAGTGTTAAGATGTCAATTCTCCCCATCCATCCATTGTACATCCCCTTATACATCCGTTTAATACAGTTCCAGTCAAAATCCTGGAGAGAATTTCTGGTAAATACAGACAAGTTGATTCTAAAATGTACAGAGAAAGGCAAAGAAGCTAGAATAGTTAAAACAATTTTGAGAAAGCATACATTTGGCTCCACAATGCGCAATTTGAAGACCTATCCTAAAGCTACAGTAATGAACACAATGTGGTGTAGCAAAGGAATAGATACGAGATCAACTGAAGAGGGAAGAGAGAGAGGAATAGACCCACACAAGTACAGCTAACTGATTTTTTTTAGCATTTTAAGAATTAATAGACCATTTTAAAGAACAGTTTAGATTTATAGAAAAATTGAAATTACAGTTTCCATATACCGTATGGATAGTTTCCCCTTTATTATCTTAGCATGACACATTTGTTACAATTAATGAACCAACACTGATACATTATTATTAACGAAAGTCCATAGTTCAGATGACCTTGGTTTTTACCTAATGTCTTTTCTTCTGTTCCAGCCTCCCATCCATGATACCATGTTACATTTATTTGTCATGTCTTCTTAGGCTTCTCTTACCTGTGAGATTTCTCAGAGATTCTTGGTTTTGATGACCTTGAGGGTTTTGAAGAATACTGGTCGGGTATACCAGTTGTCCCTCTAATGGAACGTGCCTGATTTTCTTTCTCATGATTAGTCTGGAGTTACGGTTTTGGGGAGAAAAGCTCACAGAGGGCAAGTGCCATTTTCATCACATCATATCAAGGACACTTACTATCAATATGGTTTATGGTGGTTGATGTTGAACTTGATCTGATCAGCTGGCTGAAGCAGTGGTATTGTTTCCCCCTTTCCATGCTGTGTGATTTGGAAAGAAGTCACTTTGTGGAGCCCACACTTAAAGAGTGGGAGTTATACTCCAACTCGCTTAGACTGGAATACATACATAATTTATTTGGAATTCTGCGTAGGAGATCTGTTTCCCCTCCATTTATTTATTCAGTCACTTATCTGTATCAATATGCACTCATGGATATGATGTTCTACTTTAGGTTATAATCCAGTGCTACGTTTTAAGTTATCTTGCTCATTGTCTTCCAACTTTGGCCATTGGGAACCCTTTTAGAAACAAGATCTGGTCACTAGGTGTGCTGGTTGCTATGGTACAGTGTGATTTCTTTCAGGCTCCCTTAGCTGGCAGAGCAAAGAAATGTATGTGTGCCACCAACTCATGTACATACATATATGTGTAAATATTTTTATATGTAGCCATCTGTATCTACATTGTTTTACCATCATCAACTCTGTCCCTTACACGTGGATTATTCTAGCCTCCTCCCCTTTCTAATCTGTAAATTCCCGTTCTAATGACAAGAACCCTGGCTTTCACCATCCACTACTCAATTGTTCAGGTCCAGCAAACACGTACGGCAGTGTCAGAACTGTTAACATGTGTACCGTGGGAATCAACTTTATCAATTAGAGCATCGTCCCGTGTGCAGTTCCTTTTGCCTTTAGCCTGTGGACTCCAAAGTGGCTGAAGTCCCTTCCCCCTGCCCCCACCCTCCTTGGGGTGGTTGTTTCATACTTTTGTAATACAATTAGACTCCCTTGTCACAGTCTACATTTTTTCCTGGAATCTCCAGACCTCCTAAATTATTATTTTTCTAAATCACATACATTAAAGTTCACTCTTGGTGTAGTAAAGTTTTATGGGTTTTGACAAATGTCTGAAATTATGTATCTACTACTACAGTATCATAGTTTCACTGTGCTAAAATTCCCTGTGCTTCAGCCATTCATCCCTCCCCTCCATACCCACACCTCTGACCACCACTGATTTTTTTTTTTTTTAACCACTGATCTTTTTTTGTATGTATAGTTTGCCTTTTCCAAAATGTCATAGAATTGGAATCAACAACATGTAGCCTTTTCAGACTGGCTTCTTTTACTGAGAAATATGCATTTAAGTTTCTTCCATGTGTTTCTGTGGCTTGATAGCTCATTTCTTCTTATTGCTGAATAATATTGCATGTATGTACCATAGTTTATGCTTCATCTATTAAAGGACATCTTGGTTGCTTTCAGTTTTTGGCAGTTATGGATAAAGCTGCTATAAACATCCATGTTCAGGTTTTTGTGTGGACATGAGTTTTCAATTCATTTGGGTAAATAAGTAGGAGTATAATTGATGGATCACAGGTAAGACTGTGTTTAGCTTTTTAAGAAGCTGCCGAGCTTTCTTGCACAGTGGCTGCGCCATGTTACAGTCCTAACAGCAACAAAAAAGCGACTTATTTTCCATATCCTCTCCAGCAATTGGTACTTTTGTGTTTTGTTTCTGATTTTAGCCATTCTAAAAGGTGTGTAGTGATGACAATAAGTAAACAACTCATTGTTGCTTTAATGTGTAATTCCCTGATGACAAATGACGTTAAGCGCCTTTTCATGTTTTTTGCCATCTGTATATTGTTTTCGGTGAGCTGTCCAGATATTTTGCCCATTTTTAATAGTGTTGTTTGTTTTTGTATTGTTGAGTTTTAAGAGTTTTTAAAGAATATTTGAATACAAATCCTCTATCAGATATGTGCTTTGCAAATATTTTCTCCCAGTATGTTGTCTCTCTTGATTCTCTTAATAGTTTCTTTCCACAGCAGAAATTTTTTTTTTTTTTGCGGTACACGGGCCTCTCACTGCTGTGGCCTCTCCCGTTGCGGAGCACAGGCTCCGGACGCGTAGGCTCAGCGGCCATGGCTCATGGGCCCAGCCACTCTGCAGCATGTGGGATTCTCCCGGACTGGGGCATGAACCCATGTCCCCTGCATCGGCAGGCGGACTCTCAACCACTGCGCCACCAGGGAAGCCCCCTATTCCTTTTTAAATGCATAACCTCTCACCCTTTGAGATGGTCACAGGACACCCAATGCACTTCACTCCTGTCTCTTCTGACTGAGACTTGATAAGAGATATTTCAATATTGTAAAGGCCTAATTATTTCAATTAAGAATAACTGTATTTTGGTAGAGCAATCTTTTTAGCGTCTCTCAGAAAATGAAGACCTTAAGAATCACACCTTGCAACCTGGAGATTTCATCTACTGGAGTAATTACCTCCAGAAAAACTCTCTTCAACCTTGCTGGAAAGGCCCCTATCAAGTACTGCTAAACCAACCCTTGTGCCACCAAACTACAAGGAATTGACTCTTGGATTCACATGACACACTTAAAGAAAGTGCCAAACCCTGACTAGACCTGCACATCATCTGGTGACCTGAAAGTCAAGATTTCCCGGAATTGAAGCAGATGACATCTGATGAGACATCCTTCCCAAAATATCCATTCCAGGCCTGTTGGAGTTTGTCACCAAACCTTTGATGACATGCTCAGATGATCTCCAGTGTCTATGATCTTGGTAACATATGAACTTTAGATGAAAAGTGCCTCACAGTTCTCTCCGCTCCTCTTCAATACTCAAATGTAATCTCAGTAGGTTTGAAATCTGCATTTTCCCTCTGATGTGAGACTGTACACAGGAAAGGTCCTCCCTGGCAGAGGTACAAAAAGCCACTGACACCAAAAAAACCCCTCATGCTTGATCAGATGCTTTCAGAGAAAGATTTTGATCAAAAGGGGGAAATGTAAAAAACACAAAAAAGAACAGAAACCTCAATGAAAGAGAGTCAGGAGGTCATAAAGGGGGAGGGGGAAGTCTCACACCCTGCAAAAATAGCAGAGACCTTTTCTATCCTGGCAACAACTCAGCCAATGAAAAGCAATGGACTGTTGGTTTGTTTTTTTTTTTTTACTACATCCCTCCCAACTTCCTTTCCCCACATAAAAGTGTCCTCCTTTCCATTTTTGCTGGGGACTTGCATGCAGGTTCCCATGGTAGTAGCCCCCAAATTGCAATTCTTTTTATAATAAACCTGTTTTTGCTGGAGAAATAGTTGGCAGTCAGTTTATTTTAGATCAACAGTAGGTAGTGGTATCTCATTGGTTTTTCAAATTTACAATTTCCTAATACCCTATAATACTGAGCATCTTTTCATATACTTATTTGCAGTCTGTATGGTGAGGTGTCTGTTGAGATCTTTTGCCCATTTTCAACTGCGTTTTTCCTTTTCTTGCACTTTTAGTATATTTTGGGTAACTTTTATCAGATATGCCTTTTGCAAATATTTTTATCTTGTGGCATCTCATTCTCTTGATGTATGTATCTTTTTACAGTATATAATCACGCTGTGAATATAATTAGCTTTTTAACGTAACACTATAGCATTTCCCATTTGGCTTGAGACTTCCCAGTCACCTTTGTATAGGGCTGCAAAATAAGTACCCAGTTTCTTCCTCCACAGCCCGACAGAGCAGATTATCCCCACTTTACAGGTGAAGGAGATGAGAGACTGATAGCTACCTGCCTAAGGTTTCAGCGCTGCTGACCCGCAGGGCTCACAATCCCCTGGGTAAGCAACCCAGTGCCTCCCGAGCTGCCTGTCCCGCCTGGGAGGTTTCCGTGAGTGGTTTCTATGACTCGGCGCACTAACTCTCTTCTCTTGGCCTCCCAATCCCGCTCTGAAACACAGCAAAGCCGCGATCCTCTGGGATTTAAAAAGCGGCCAGGAGGCCCCGCCGGGCGCGGGGCGGGCACTCTCGTAGTCCTCCTCCGGGGCAGGAGCGGGCGCGGAGGCGGAGCGAGCAGTCCACGCCTTCCGCCAGCCAAGCTCCTTCAGTCGGCCCGCAGGCGACGTGGACACCGGACTGGCCTCCCGGAGCGCGGGGCCCGGCGACCCACCCGGAAGGGAGCTGGAGCGCGCTGACCCGCTGGGCTGCACGCGGCGGACGGCAGGCCCGCGGAGCCGGGCGCGGTGAGCTGACTGCTCCGCCCCGGCGACCCCCCGCCCCCGTCAGGCTCGGCTCCCACCCCAGCCCCGCGCCGGCGAGGCTGCCGGGCGTCGGAGCAACTCCGGGCTGCCCCCGCCGCCTCTTCCCTCACCCGGTCTCGGGCCTGGGGAAGTTTCCCGCGGAAGCGAAAGCGAAACCTTCGCTACAGCTGCGCGGGGAAGTGGGGGCGCAGGTAGGCTCGCGGGTCGGCCTCCGACCAGGGTGGGGGCTTCCGCTTCCGGCGCACGGGCGGTGGGCGGGCGACGACGCTCCCGGAGGTCAGGCGGTGGGCGTGGTCCGTGGCGTTCCGGGAAGTCGGGCGCCAAGACGGGCTCCTTTCTGGCTGGGGGTTTCGGTCTGTCCGGATAGGGCGGACACCTGCCTTGGGCGCGATAACGGCGTGAAGTAGGAACAGACTGTCACGTCGCCACCGTTGTTTTGGGGGATGGTGGGTTTTCCTTGCTGTGCCCTTAAGCCTCAGCGGTGCCTGCTCTCGCCGCAACAGGGTTACGCAGGCGTCCCAGGCCGGGCCTCCTCCCCCGCCCTTCGGAAGGACCTTTGACTGGGGCGCTGGGGTCGCCGCGAACTGCGAAGCAGTCAGAAGTGTTTCCGCGTTGTCTTAGACGTGTGCTGGCAAGTGGGAAAGAAGGGTTAACGGCGACGAAGGGGAGGTTGCTGTCACCCTAGAAGGCGTCTTCTGTTCGGTGGTCAGTGGCGTGTGCTTTTACGAAATGTTCATAATCTCTTGAGAGTTTTTGTTTTTGTTTCTGTTTTAACATCTTTATTGGAGTATAATTGCTTTACAGTGGTGTGTTAGTTTCTGCTGTATAACAAAGTGAATCAGCTATACATACACGTATATCCCCATGTTTACTCCCTCTTGCGTCTCCCTCCCTCCCACCCTCCCTATCCCACCCCGCTAGGTGGTCACAAAGCACCGAGCTGATCTCCCTGTGCTATGCGGCTGCTTCCCACTAGCAATCTGTTTTACATTTGGTAGCATATATATGTCCATGCCACTCTCTCACTTCGTCCCAGCTTACCCTTCTCCCTCCCTGTGTCCTGAAGTCCATTCTCTAGTCTGCGTCTTTATTCCTGCCCTGCCCTGCCCCTAAATTCTTCAGAACCATTTTTTATTTTTTAGATTCCATATATATGTGTTAGCATACGGTATTTGTTTTTCTCTTTCTGACTTACTTCATTCTGTATGACAGACTCTAGGTCCATCCACCTCACTACAAATAACTCAATTTCGTTTCTTTATATGGCTGAGTAATATTCCATTGTATATATGTCCCACATCTTCTTTATCCATTCATCTGTCAAGGGACGCTTAGGTTGCTTCCATGTCCTGGCTACACACATACATTTCTATTCTTCGTTAGGCTTGTTCTTGGTTTCTTGAGAGTTTTGTAGAGGATAAGTTACATCCTTTTTTCCTAAGCATCGAACAAAACCCCACAAAGGGGGTGTTGGTTGTTCATTTCTTTGTCTCCTGCTGATCGTTTGGCTCTTCCTTGCTCGTGTATCTTGGACAAAGCCTGAGGCTGTTATATTCAACCAACTTTCCAGAAGTCCTTTGGTCTTTAGACCACTATTACTTCTCCCCCGATTTACACATGAAGAAATCAAGGCAGGAGTGAGCTTTGGAGCGTAGAGTGACTTCTTACCTGATCTGCATGTTGTAACCATCAGGTAGGTGCAAGAGTAGGGAGAAAATTATAGTCTATTATAAATTTGGAAAACTGCAGCCCTTCTAAACACAAAAGGTGAAGACTGAGCTTGCTTAAAATATTTGGGGGTATATCATCGTCATCACTATTATTACTGATGCAACAGCAATAACAGTTAACTTTCATTTTCCTCTGTCTGAGCTGTATTGCACACCAGAGCTATATTGTACTTTCAGGTTTGTGACTATTAATGAGAATTAAGAAAAAAATCCCTAAGTAGCAATTTCCAAACTCGCACATAACTGTTGGGTGCTTACTAATCCACAACATGTTAATACCACCAGTATGATCCGGGAACTTGAAAAATACACAGAGCTTCCCATGCTTTGGTTGGATATCATACTCTGGCAAAAATGATCATGTTAGGTAACCTGTAGAATATTGATTTCGAACCACTTAGTTTCATATGTTTTTTAAATTTAGTCTGTACGTTCCCTATGCTTCTGACTGTCGCATACTTATTTAGTATAGGTGAGCAGTTGTAAGATTAAGTCTTTGCATCTGATTTTAACGAAGACATTGTTGGTTGCTCTCTAGAGAAGTAGCATGTGTTAGTGAGCTGATAGCAGAAGTTTGCGTGAAGAGATAAAGGCTGAGTTCCAGGATCTGCTACTTTTGGTGAATCATTAAACTCCAGATTTTAGTTTCTTTATTTGTAAATTGGAACGATGTAAATTGGTACGTCAGAGGGTCATAATGTGGTAACGTACATGATAACCCTGGGTTGAACTCTTCCAGTCTCTTCTCTCTTGCTCAGCATTTAGATCTTCCTTGCGCAGAGCTCTTTTTTATCTGGGGCAAAGTATCAAGCAGTTATAATCAAAGAACCTTGAGAGATCCCCATTGGATACCTGAGTAAAAACAGAGTTCTGTTAGCAGGGAAAAAGGGGGGCAGTGATAGATAGGTAGCCAGCATTTTCTGTCAGACTTATTATGTATGGTCATCATTGAAAAATTGAAAAAACAGTCCTCTACCACTTAAAGGTAAATATGAATATTTTTTAAAGTTTAAAAAAATTGTTTTTTGACGTATAACATACACAGAAAAGTACACAAGTCATAACTGTTCAGCTGTATTAAGTATCACAAAGTAAACATTAAGAAGAAATGAGACATTGCCATCACTCCTGAAGCCCCTGCGCTTTCTGTGATTCACAGCCTCCTGCTTCCACCTAATAGGAACTACTGTCTTGACTGGGTATATTGTAGATGAGTTTTGCCTGTTTTTTTGGTATTATATATTGTTAATAATTTGTATTTTCCCCCAGTTTTACTGAGGTATAATTGACTAATAAAATTGAATATAGATATGAATATTTTGATATATAGACTTACCCTGCCTTAGAAGATAATTTGTGAAGTTTCTTGGGATTTTCAGTTAATTTCAATGGAAAAGATTTGCTTCCCTAAGTCCCTGAATTAAATATACAGAAAACAATAAATTCCATTAAAATAGATACATTCTGTGTTGAAATTAATCATAAGACGGCATCACAGGCTAGCGTGCCTTCATTAAGTGCCCTGTAACATGGCTTTGTAATGTCGTTTTCTACCTGCCTACATTCAGTGTTTTTGTGACTCTTGGGTATTTAAGTTACTCACAAGTCCTTCCTAAGATATTCAGTGCTTATAAAGTTGAATCATTCATGGAGAAACAGTGGGGGAAACAGTAAAAACAAAAGAAATCATTGGAAACCATGCAAAAGGTGCATAAGGTTAAGTAAGACCAGCCTAAACCAGCAAACCGCAGACTGAGGAGAACCAGCTGGGGTCAGGAGCCAGCCTCACAAAGTGCAGCCGACCCGTGAGGAGGCTCCCCTCCCCTGAGCTCCATCGCACTTGTAGGAGGCACTGCAGGTCCTAGTTGGTCTTGGCAGCTCTGAGGAGACAAGACCTGGGCTGAAGCAGAGAGCTGAATCTTAATACCCCATGGGCATATTTCAGGGCATGGTTATAATTCCTTCCTGTTTCTTTACTCTGTCTGTGAGCCTTTTTTTTTTTTTTTTTTTTTTTGCGGTACACAGGCTTCTCACTGTTGTGGCCTCTCCCGTTGCGGAGCACAGGCTCCGGACGCGCAGGCTCAGCGGCCATGGCTCACGGGCCCAGCCGCTCCGTGGCATGTGGGATCCTCCCGGACCGGGGCACGAACCCGTGTCCCCTGCATCGGCAGGCGGACTCTCAACCACTGCGCCACCAGGGAAGCCCTGTGAGCCTTTTTTAATGTTACTAAACATTGATACATAACGTCATTTTTGAAAACTGCTAGATGTATTTCATAGTGTGAATGGGTCGTAACTTATTCTCCCTTATCCTGTATCTGTCAGTTGTTTTATGTGCTTTTGCTGTTTTACCTAATGTTACTGGGAACATCCTTGTACATACTCTGTATCAGCATCTCTGATTTGATTCCTTAGGATAAAGAACTACTGAGTGAAGGAATTATTCCCTTATAAAAAATAAATGTTATTATAAAGGTAATTCATGTTTATTGTAGAAAATTTGGAAAATGTAGAAGTGTAAAGAAGTAAAAATCACCCAACCATCCAGATATCCTTGCTAACATTTTCGTGTCTTTCACTGTGTCTTTTTTCCTGTACATATATCTATATGTATAGCTAGCTATCTACCTGTTAATATATTGGTTGTACAATATTACATCTTATGAATGTTCTATAATTCGTTTAACTATATTCTTTATTTTTGGATGATTAAATAGTTCTTGTATTTTAAAAATTATGTATTTAATGACCAACTGCCATATGTCAGGTTCTGTGCTGGGCACTGTAGACAGTGCATAAGACAGACAGTTTCCTGCCTTCTGTGAGCTTAATTGAAATAACTCCCAAATTACAGCTGTCCTGTTTCAAAGGGGAAGTACTGGGTGCTGTGAAAATGTCTAATGGGAAGATGTAGGATGGCTTTCCTGAGGAAATGACGTTTCTGAGACCCGAAGGAGGAACAGCTTCTAGCCGGGAGAAGAATGTGCCCTCAGGGGGCTTGTAGGGGAGAGTGGGACAGATAACTCAGTCTCCCCCAACCCCACCCCACCCCCACAAGGACTGGTCAGCAGAGAGCTGCCGAGAAGAGAGATCCCAGATGCACACTCGTATTCTGAAAGCCTGGGAAACAGGACGAACGTGGGAGCGTATGGCTCGGTGGGCCAATCATAGCCAGAACTGTAAAGCAGGCAACACATGTGTTTTCACATATTTTTTCTCACATAATCCTTAGCAGTCTTATGAGGCAGTCATTATTATTCCTTTTGCCAATGAGGAAATTGAGGCTTATGTAAGTTACCCAAGACACAGGGCTGATAAATGAGAGCTAGAGTTCATATGAGAGAAAAGCCTGTGCTCTTTGCACCATCATAATGGCTTCTGGTACCTCACCTTCAGTCCCTGACTCACCCCTGTCCCCTCCATCTTTATGCCCTTTATCTGGGCAGCCTCCCTCAACCCCTGTCTCTGCCCCGCAGATGTGCTTCTTTCCAGAGGGTACTTCCTCTTGCTTGGAAAGTCTCCTGTTACAGGAAAATGGTTCATAGCATCATCTTCCGTGCTGATATGTGAGCTTTGTTTGGGTGGCAGGGCCCACCGAAACCTTTGTACAGGATGTAGAAGGTGGTTGCCTGAGCCAGACTGCAGCAGCCCACTGCACAGGAGTGCTGTCAGCCTAGGCATTTTCAGAAACCCCTTCAGGTACTTTCAAACAAACAACTTCCTGCCCCCAATATTTCATTAAGAAAAATTTCAAAGTACAAAGTTAAAAAGATTTTACACCTGCAGCTAACATCATACTCAACAGTGAAAAACTGAAAGCTTTTCCTCTAAGATCAGAAACAAGACAGGAATTCCCTGGCGGTCCAGTGGTTAGGACTCTGCGCTCTCACTGCCGAGGGCCAGGGTACAATCCCTGGTCTGGGAACTAAGATCCCACAAGCTGCATGCATGCAAGTTGCAGCCAAACCAAAAAAA